AATATATCATGCCTCTGAATCCAGTGGGAGAAGCTGTTTTGAACTACACTGGATGATGTTAACAAAAAAAAATAAAAAATTTGCAGAGCTGTGTTGATTTTGGCTTAGCCTAGCTCCTGTGCTGGTCCTGATGAACCGGATGCTTCTCTGAACATCAGTCCACCAAGCAACTACCAAGATCCACCCTACGACCCTGCTGAAAATATCTTCATTAAATGTAGAGAGGTTGCAGCTTCAGGGATTGCTCCTCCCTTTTATCCTTTGAACGTCCCTCATATCACCACTATCATCCCTTCCACATCAGTTGCTTTTGACAGACTTACACTGACTGAGGGAGTCATCCATCTTGACTCTCCCCCTAGAGATAACGAGGCAACCAACAATGGAGAGGTCAACAATGAGTCTAGGTTAGGAGAGGAACCTGCCAACTAGCTTTGTGGATCTTTGTAACAATTTTTTTTTTTTTTTTTTTTTTTTTTTTTTTTTTTTTTTACAAATGTTCAAAAATTCATGTATCTCCAGAGCGTTGACTCATGTACTCAAGAACTTATTTTGTTTGAAATGAAAAGGGAATGATATATCTGTTTTTTGCAAAACTTCCATTCTCTAATCCTGAATGGCATGATAACTTGATATATATATATATATATATATATATATATATATATATATATATATATATATATTACAAGTGTCTGGCGTTCAGCTAATAGTGTTATTTGCCACTTACTTTGCTAAGTGCTTGGCGTTCGACTGACAGTGCCATTCGGTCATGTATTCAATTTTGTGAAGGATTCTTGCGTTCGGCTCGTAGTGCCAGTTGCCACCCGTTCTGCTATGTGCCTGGTGCTCTGCTAAAATGGCCCTTGCCCCTTAGCATATATTTATTTTTGTGCAAGAGTTTGGCGTTTGGCTCATAGTGCCAATTGCCACTTGCTCTGCTATGTGCCTGGCGCTCGGCTAGAATGCCATTTGCCACTCGGCATCTATTTAATTTTTGTAAATGAGTCTGGCGTTCGGCTCGTAGTGTCAGTTGCCACTCGCTCTGCTATGTGCCTGGTGCTCGGCTAGAATGCCACTTGCCACTCGGCATTTATTTATTTTTGTACAGGAGTCTGGCGTTCGGCTCGTAGTGCCAGTTGCCACTCGCTCTGCTATATGTCTGACGCTCGGCTAAAATGCCACTTGCCACTCGGCATCTATTTATTTTTGTGCAGGAGTCTGGCATTCGGCTTGTAGTGCCAGTTGCCACTCGCTCTGCTATGCACCTGGCGCTCGGCCAGAATGCCACTTGCTACTCGGCATCTATTTATTTTTGTGCAAGTGTTTGGCGTTCGGCTCGTATTGCCATCCGCCACTTACTTTGTTAAGTGGGAAGAATGCCAATCAATTTTGAAGCAAAATAAACTTCTTTCATAAAACTTAGGAATTTCATACACTTGTAAGTATGCAAGTCAAAATGATCATATTGTTCGGAATTAAATTTTACTTCTACTGGTAGTACTTTTTCAGAGACGTGGCATTCCATGGTTTACTGATCAACCTCCCTGCCATGGTCTCCAGAACGTATGCCCCCTTCCCTATGACTTCTGCAATCCTGTATGGACCTTCCCATGGTGAAAACATCTTTTTGACTATCCCCACCTTCCTTTTCAGAACCAGATCGCCAAAGGCAAAGTCTCTATGCTTCACTCTTTTGTTATGGCTATGTACGAGCGTCTGCTGATAAGATACAAGCCTTATTGCAACTGCGTCCCTTTTCTCCTCCAGTAGATCAAGATTAAACCTTAACATGCTATCATTTTGCTCTTGATTCCACGCCAAGCTTCTAACGGTTGGAACTAAGTGCTCGATTGGTATCACTGCCTCAGTGCCGTACGCCATAGCGAATGGGCTCTCCCCGGTCGGTCGTCTCGAGGTTGTTCTGTAAGCCCACAAGACGTTCGGAAACTCGTCTAACCATTTTCCTTTTCATCTTCGAGCTTCTTCTTGATGCAGGCAAAGATTATTATGTTCGTGATCTCAGCTTGACTATTAGACTGGGGATGGTTGACTGCTGCCAACTTTTGATTAATTACATATTCTTCCAGCAGTTCCTTCACTTGCTTGCTATCAAGATTGGTCCCATTGTCCATAACGATCGACCTTGGTACGCCAAAACGACAAATAATATTATTCCAGATAAAGCGTCTTACTTGAGTTTGGGTCACACTAGGGTACGGCTCTACCTCTACCCACTTGGTGAAGTAGTCTATTGCTAGCAGAACATACTTGTTCTGCGATCTTTCGGTCGGTAGAGGGCCAACCACATTCATCCCCCATTGCACGAAAGGCCATGGCGTGGCCATTACGTGCAAGTCTTCAGGTGGTTGGTGGATCAATGGTCAGAACCTTTGGCATTTATCGTATCTTCTAGAGAATTCTTCTGCATCTCATGCCATGCTTGGCTAAAAGTACCCTTATGTCATTGCTTTGTGTGCCAAAGATCTTCCTCCCGAATGATTTTCGCATATACCTTCATGAATGGTTCGCATGATCTGTCTAGCCTCTGTTGAGGTAACACACTTCAAGTACGGACCCGAAAAGGACCATTTGTACAACTGATTACGCACAATAACATACTTTGCGGCATTGGACCTGATTTTTCTTGCTTCATCTTTCTGTTCGGGCAACATCATACTATCACTTATGAAAGCCATGATCGGATCAATCCAGCTCGGCTCATATGGTATAACATTAACTTGTTGAGCACCCGGACCGGGCAGTTCATCAAAAATGGACGGCTGGTTCAACACATCAACTGGGATGACCCTAGCCAGTGTTTCTCCAAAACTGGATGCACTACAAGCCAAGCAATCGGCATCTTCATTGTACTCCCTCGGCAACTAGACGAACTTAATCTAATCGAAGTCTTTTGCCTCACGCAGAACAGCGGTTCGGTATGCTTCCATAGTCTCATCTTTAGTTCCGTATTCTCCAGTTACTTGCCGAACGATTAGCCGTGAATTGCTATGAGCAACTAGATTCTTGATCTTCAGCTCTTTAGCTAACTTCAGTCCAGCCAGCTGTGATGACCTGGATTTTTAGAATTTTAATGTAATCTATTTCATGATTTTTAAGTGGTCATAGTTGATTATTTTTTGTTTGTTGCATATTAAATATATATATATATATATATATATATATATATATATATATATATATATATGGTAACTAATGGGATAAGAAGCGGAACAACGAAATGAGATTAAGGAAATGGCTTTGGCGCGAGCCCCACTTGGGTAGTAAATGGGGCAAGACTTTTTGACTTTGGCTTTGGACATGGGCTGTTATGGGTTTGATTGGTTTTCACTTTTCTTTATTACATATTTTTGTATATATATATATATATATATATATATATATATATATATATATAATCTGATGAAACGGGGAAGGTACCGAAATAAGATAGAAAGAAATGGAAGAAATGGAAAGGAAGTGGTAGCGGGCCCCACAGGAAATGATGAAATGAGTTTTGATTTTGTCACATGTTATATATATATATATATAATTTGTATTTGGTGGGATTAGGAGGCAAGGTGGACGGCTGAGAAGAAATGTGATGAAGGGCAAATGTAATGATGATGGTGGGACCCGATGGAAGTTTTTTGGCCAAAGTTTCTTCTCACGTGGGTTCTGATAGAGTAAAGAAAAGAGAGAGCAGGTCAGTTTAATGGAAAAAGAGAGAGAAAAAGTTGATTTGGTGGCGGGTCCAACTGATTATTTTGGGGCAACTTTTCTTGGGCTTGATTTTTTTTCAAGTGGGTCTGTTGGCTGGTTTCTGAGATGGGTGATGTTGCCTATAAATAAGACTTGTGACTTTGGTACAAAGGCAGAGATAGAAAAAATTAGAGAAACAGAGTGAGTTGGGAGAGATGACAGTGAGTGAGCCGAGGGTATGCAGAGGTGATATTGGAGATGATCCAGTGGAGAATTATTCTTTTTCAGTGTAGGGTTCTCTATACCTTGAATAGCATGGGGAGGTTTTGCTTTAATGTTTTTATTAAATGTTTTCATGAAATGCATACGTATTTTGTTTATACTCACCTGTATATGTTTATGTAGTGAAGCTGTTTTATTAAACCTCCATGAAATTCTTGTTATGGTTTTTCCTACTGGGACTTTTTGTCTCACAATTTCAGGTACCGAAGATGGACGGGGATCGTAGATTCGGGCTTAGGCTGAAGAGTTGGCGTGGAGGATTTATTTTATTTAATTGGAGAATTTTGTATATATTTAATGAAATTGACTTTGTATAAAGGAGGGCATTTTTTTTATGATCCTGGGTGTATTTTAATGTATCTAATTTGTATAAAATCGAGGATTTTGTTAGAAAATTCGGGTCGTGACACCAGCAATGCCTCTTATTCAGCCTTGTTGTTGGTTGTTTTGAACTCAAGTCTGATCGTTTGGCTCAGCATGCTGCCCTCTGGTGTTTGCAATTTGATTCCAATTCCTGCCCCCATTTGATTTGAGAGCCATCAACGAAGAGTTTTATAAGGAACAAGCATAATCTTCCTCTAAGTCTTCAACATCACATTCAAGTAGGAAATCGGCCACTGCTTGACCTTTGATTGCCATTCTGGGTTCATATGTAATATCAAATGAGCTCAACTCTATGGCCCATTTTGTCATTCTTCCTGATAGGTCTAGCTTGTGCAAGATCATCCTTATAGGAAAAGTAGTTAAGACGACAATTTGATGGGATTCGAAATAATGCCTGAGCTTCCTTTTCGCGTTGACCAACGACAAAATCATCCGTTCGGCCTTTGAGTACCTTCTTTCCGGCTTGGCCATTGTTTTGCTGATATAGAACACCGGGAACTACTTTCCATCTTTGCAATAGATCAGAACGGCACTTGTCGCGATGCTGGATACCTTAAGGTACACAAAGAGCTTTTCATTTGGCTCGGGAGCAAATAGGACCGGAGGGTTTCGCATATAGTCTTTCGGGCTGGTCAATGCCTGTCGTTATTCATCCCCCAGGCTTGTCTTCCATGGCCTCGTATCGTGTCAAAAAATGGTTTACAGCGGTCTGAAAGCTTCGAAATGAACCGACTCAGTGCAGCTATTCGACCTGTGAGTGCTTGCACTTCTTTAATTGTCTTTGGTCCTGCATTTCTGATCAGAGCTTCCGCCTGGGTTGGGCTAGCCTCAATTCCTCTATAATTGACCACATACCCGAAGAATTGGCCAGAGCTTACGCCGAATGAGCATTTGGTTGGATTAAACTTCATTTCGTACTTCCTCAACACACCAAACACATCCTGTAAGTGCTCCAAGTGGTCATTCTTCTTCTTACTCTTTACCACCATATCATCAATGCAAGCCTCCACAATTCTCCCCATTTGACTTTTGAAAATCTTGCTGATTAACATCTGATAAGTAGCTCCAACATTCTTTAGTCCGAACGGCATGACTTTATAGCAGTAGGTCCCACGTTCAGTAACAAAAGAAGTTTTCTCTTCATCAATCTGGTCCATGGGGATCTGATTGTAACCTGAGTAAGCATCCAGGAAGGTTAACCGTTCGTACCCAGTAGTGGCATCCACCATTTGATCAATCATTGGCAATGTGAAGTTGTCCTTTTAGGCAGGATTTGTTCAGATTAGTGAAGTCAATACATACTCTCCATTTTCCATTCTTTTTTTGCACAACGACGACATTGGAGAGCCAGGCCGGGCATTAAACCTCTCTAATGAATCTTGCATCGAGCAACCGATTAATCTCCTGAGCTATGATTCGATTGCGTTCTGGAGCGAATCTTCTCTGCTTCTGCTTCACAGGCTTTGCGTTCGGATCTACATTGAGGAAATGATAGGACACAAAAGGACTAATTCTCGGCATGTCTGAATGGCTCCACGCGAACATATCTGCATTCTGAGTCAAGAAATCAATCAACCATTGTTTTTCCTCTTCAACAAGTTTTGATCCCACCCTCGTTGTTCGATCTGGCTTCTTATGGCCGATCTGCACATCAAGAAGAGGTTCTTCAGTCAGAACTGACGGCTTCTCCTCCCCACTCTTGTTGGGTGGAGGATCCTGTAATTGCTATCTTGGACTTGCAGAATGGATGAGAGTTTTCCCCTTTTCAGCAGATTTCAAAGTCACTGAATAACATTCTTTAGCTGCAACCTGGTCCCCATGAATATCAATCACCTTGGTCCCATTTGGACCCAAGCATCGCATCACTTGATGTAGAGTTGATGGGACACCCTGAACTCTGTGAATCCACCCTCTTCCCATCAAGAGGTTGTAAGATGGATGGATTTCTACGACCACAAAACTCTCAGTCAGAATTCTCTTAGCAGCTTGCACTGTTAATTCCACCATACCAATGGGCTCCACCTGCTTCTCATTAAATCCTAGCAATGGATTTCCTGTGGCTTTGAGCTTCTCGGGTTCGATCTCGAGCCGGTCGAACGTTATTCTGGGCATGACATTTACACTGCTTCCTGGATCAATCAGAACTCTTCGCACCAGGCATTCTGCAACTATCAGACTAACGACTAATGGATTTTCATGAGGAACCTGAACGCGTAGCAGGTCTGTTATATCAAACTTTATCTGTGCCAATGCGTTCTGCTGATGCAAAACATGCACACTGCCAATCCTTCTCTTCATCTGGGCCTGGCGTAATCGCGTTTTGAGCAGCTTCTCTGACTCCGCTGTTTGTTCAGGTCGGCCATGAATCGTATTTATAATCCGAACGGGATGAGTGCTGTGGTGATTCGGCTTCTGAGTTCTCTTAACCTACTCAGCCGGTCGGTTCTGCTCTTGTGCCGGACCTTGAGCATATCCTGCAAATTCCCCATTTGCGATCAGCATCTCCACTTGCCTCCTTAGGTTCCTGCATTCATTAGTCTGATGACTAAAGTCACTATGGAAAGCACAATGTTTAGATTGATCCCTCTGTTCAAGAGGTTGTCTGATTAGTAAGAGAGGGCAAAACTTATCTTTGTTTTCTTGATACAGCCTTGCCAGAGTAACTCTGAGTGGAGTAACTAATTCTTCCTCTGTAGGCTTCTACTCTGCCTTCCGGGAGGTCTGACGTTGTGGCTGAGCTTGTTTTTGCCAGATCTTGGCTTTGGACTTCTCCTCTGTTGAGATAATTGATGTCTTCCTTGCATTAGCTGCTTCTTCTTCTTCCAGATGCACAAAACCGTCAGCTCTCTCGTTCAGCTCGTCCATGATCTTTGGCGTATTCACCACCAGGCTTGTGTGGAACGGTGTCCCTAGGTTCATTGCAAGTTTAAATGCTTGGACCGCTGTGGACGGATGACATTCCATTACCATGCCTTTGACAAGGTTGAACTTGGTGAGGAAAGCTTGGAGTCGTTCATCTTCGTGCTGCTTCATTGTAAAGAGGCTTGAAACATCCTTGGCCGGGCGTTTATTCCCATAGTACTGGCTTATGAATTTGTCGCACAAGTCCTGGAAACTTGAACCTTGAGCCAGATTCTTAAACCAATTGAGGGCTGGCCCAGCTAAACTTGTAGGGAAACACTTGCATATCAAAGGATCATTGTTAATATTCAAAGCCATTTTCAACTGAATGTGGTAGATGTGATCGATCGGGTCGGTTGTTCCATTAAACAGAATGAAGATCGGCATGGAAAACTTCCTCGGATTTGGAGCGTTTAGGATTTCATCAGTGAACGGAGATGCCACCGTTCTTGCTGATGAACGCAGTGCTTCGTTCTCCCTTGAGAACCGTGATGGAACTCTATGATCTGCATATTTCATTTCTGAACTTCTGTAATCAAACGTTGTCATTGAAGGTCGATAGGGTGGATCAAACGATTTGTCCTCCGCAAACTCATTTTGCCACGGTAATGCAGCCCTATGATCGTACGTCGGCGCTTCCTCTCGCATGATCCGTTCGCGATGTGGATCCAAATGAATAGATCCCTCTCGATCCTTTACCTGACGGACATTTGGAGACTTCATCACGACGAGGATCCACGCGATTGACACCTTCTGGATCACCTTGATAAAGAGCATTAAACGGTAAGACTCTCTCTCCTACTGGAGGTGGCCTCGGAATAGTTGGAGCTTCACGACGTTCCATTCTAGCTCGTAATTCTGCATTCTCTTTTCTCAGGGCTTCGATCATGCTCATCAACTCATTGAGCTTCGAATGCTGGCCATTCTCTAAGGGATTTGAGCTCTCTTCTCCTATCATCATTCCTGATCAGAGCAAAGTCATTAACTGCGGATTTCTTGATCAGATCTGAGCTTTGCTAATGCAAATACACCAGATCTGGACTCAAACTAGTTGAATTTTGTTCGTTACTGGCCGGATTTGAATTACTTCAGCAACGAGCCGCCGAATTCGGTAATCTCAACAAGTCTCAACTGCAAAGCTCGCCGGAACAAACACATATCAGATCTGCGTAAATCGGATGCCAATATCTTGAAATCAACTGGAACCGAGATTCAGCAAGACAAATCACACTTCCATCAATCTTGATTCAGCTTTCAGAGATCAAGCGCCTTTTTCACGAATTACTCTGAATCGAATCGATTTGGATTAACACCAATCAATCATCTTCGTTCTTCCCACAGACGGCGCCAATTGAAGAAACACCGAAATTTTCCTCATTTAGAAAGATAAATTGTGCACTTCAAATAATTTTTTCCAACCCTTTTTCCCTCTTTTTTCCATCTATTTATAGATGGTTACAACTACTCCTGAAGCTTTCTAACTAACTTTCTTGTGATAGGCTGGCCTTACTTACTTCCTTTTCGTTTGGGCCTAATTCCTTTCATCCTACTGCGAGTTTCTCTACTGTCCTCTTGGGCCTGGGCCCGCTTAGCGAGGACTTACTCCATTCCTGTTGCTCTTACCCGACCCATTCTCAACAATCTGGGTCTTATCAAGCCCAGGTCACTTTTGGTATCCTCAATTATACTTTGAGATATATATAATTATTGCCTTGTTGATAGATTAGTGATAAAATAAAAGTAAATTTTAACTAAACAAAATCCTTCAAGCTTTAATAAAACCTGATTGTTAAGAAATATAACAATGGACAAGTCCCGGAATACCATTCTATACTCTTTTCTCTCTCTATTAATATTCCATGTCGAGAAATTATTCAACGGACAGTTACAAACACTAAATTTTGATGTTGTTATGCTTTTGCTTTTACTGTGTGACTTGCATTTCAATCACAATAATCATTTTCTGATTATTTCACATAGTGTATTGTGTCTCCTTGTTTTTTTTGTTAACAAGTCTCTTTGTGAATTATAGACAACCTTAACCTTCTTATATTGCTCAATTGCAATGTGAAAATTGGAGTTTTAATTTTCCTTGGTGAAAATTGGAGTTTTTAGTTTCCACATAACATCTAAGAACCTTTATCTAATAGGAGACACCACACTAGTCTAAGTGAATTCAGAGCTGATTTAATCATCTAACACTTTTATCTAATAGGATAGCACTTAGGTCATCATTGATGAGGATATATTCTTTTTTCACTACTAATGTCAATGAATAACAAATGAACATATTCTCTTTAATTATAAAATTAAGAAAAAATTAAATAATAATATTGGCAAGTATGTATCCCACCATTTTTATTTGGTAATTAAAGATGTATCTCATCATTTTTAATTTGATAATTAAAAAAAAATAAATTGCATCTATTTCTTATTAGTTCACATTAACAATAAAAATTATGTACCTCACGCGGTTAAAATGTAAGTAATTGTCGATGAGGTTTGTCTGTTGCAGTACATTTGAATAGTAAGATGGTCTAGACGAACTGTTTCTAATGTACGAGTTTATGTTAAATCTCACTCAGTGTTATGGGTTGTCCATGGTGCATTATTCTCACTCAGTGTCATGGGTTGTCCATTAATCTCGCTCGTTTCATGGACTATCCATTAATCTCGCTCGTTTCATGGGATGCATTGCCCGTGTCGTGGGCTGGAATAGGTGTCATTTTTGTAAAAAAATTGTCCATGCTGGTTAGGGTTTAGGGTTTTTGCTTAATCCTGAAGATTTCTCTCAACAGTACTCATAAACAATAATAATGTAGCTTATATATGTAAAAAATTATACGTGATCCAAAACTAAACAAAACAATAATCAAATAGAAATAATATAGCTTCTACATGTGTTGATAAAATTAATATGTAAAAAATTAATTATGATGCAAAACTAAACTAAACTAAACAATAATCAAGCATACATAAAATAGCTTTTATATGCGTGGACAAAATTAATTGTACTTATGAACAAAAACCAAATATATCAAGTTGCTAATCAATTACAGAAACCAGATTGAAAAGAGATGAAAGAAATTAAAAATTTTAAGAAAAAATTAAGTTTACTGAAAATCATTCAAAGAAAATTAATAAAGCTCGATCTCCAATCGAGCTCATACTGATTATTGACATGAGGCTGCAGTGAAAAAAGGCACATATATAGATGTATCATTTTTATCATTGTATATAGACACTTGTATATATATATTTATCATAAATAAGATCATACGGAGAAATGTAAGTATGTTTATATATACTCAATTAGTTCGCACGTGGTCAAAACTTAAAAGTTAATTTATAATAAAAAATTCTTTTATAAATAACTAATTAGCAACTTGTTTCAAATAGTTGATATTTAATATTTATAAAGTCATTATAAATATATATTTATAAGAGTTCGGTTTTATTATTTTTTTTATTAAAAAAAATTATAAATAATAATGAAGTAGAATTAATACTAAAATAATTGTGATCCAAAACTAAAATAAACAACAAGACATCATGAGATAAACACGAAAAGACCATGACCAGCATACAGCAGAGCGTAACAACACTTCAGAAGATCAATTTGTAATCCAGAGATATACTCCAAAATTTTAGATTTTTAAGATTAGTTTAGCTCTAAATAAAAAATAAGAACAAATGAAAAAAAAAAAAAACATACTTACCGAGCAATCAGCACCACTAGTGTCAGTCTACCATCAGCACCCCATTACTGCCAGCTCCTCGTTCTGTAAATGCACATGGTAATAAAATTTAAGAACTTACGATGCACAAGGCAAAGACAAATTGCATACAGAAAACAAAATTCACATAGTAATTATAAAGATACATACATGCAGAAGCATACTTACCGAACAGTCAGCACCACTAGTGTCAGTCCACCATCAGCACCCCATCACTAGCTCCTCGTTCAGTAAATGCACATGGTAATAAAATTTAAAGACCTATGATGCACAAGGCAAAGACAAATTGCATACAGAAAACAAAATGCACGTAATAATTATGAAGATACATACATGCAGAAGCACCCGCAAATCGTACATCCGGAGTATTATCATTGAGCAGGCATGCAAGAAAATATTCAAGTTTATCTAAGGAAACACACATCACAATATTTTTTAGCGAAAATATATCAACTGCAAGATGACATTTGGTAGGGGGTCGTCTGCTCCTACAAAGACCATATCCTCATATCCAAAGCGAATGGAACAAAATTGTTTGTTGTCCAGAGAAATTAGATCATCTGAAGGCTCGACTCGCAATACGCCTGCTGATTTTGAAAAATCTCTATCTTTGTTTGATTGATTTTCATGAGATTGTTATGTTCATTAACAAGGATGTAAACAAAAGGCTAAATCAGCATCCTCTCTTACAAGGCCTATCCAAGTACTAAGATCGGGCACAACCCCAGATAGAGCGGATCCTCGTCAGGGGGTGACTTCACCCAATAATGGTTTTTCTCATATGTTGCGATGAAAATGAGTTTACCTACCATAAAATTTGACACAATCTCATGGGATCTAACTGAGGTATT